TGTTTGATGGATAAAGACACCCTGAGAAGATAGACAAGTACTAGGGACTGGCAGGACATCACAGCTGCACGGTATTGTGAATGTAGGTAAAGCCATTGAATCATATTATCATGTTATGTGTAGATATTTCACGAAATTAAAACCTAGTAGGAAATTAACTTAGATATCTGAAGCAAGAGTGTAGAGAAGGAGACTTGGTGGCTATGCAACCAAAATATTCAGATCACTTCATATAGAGTGGTACCCATCTCATCTCTGCCTCTGTCATGATGATATTGTTTGCACTAAACTAAACTTGAAGCAGCATCTAGCCCCACTGCCAGGGTTTTCTGAGGCCGCACTGCCAGGGTACTCAAACTCAACATCCCGTTCTCTAGCACTGCACACAACTCTGCTGTTTTATCTCTAGAGGGGTGCATCTGGAGTGCAGATTGTCAGACCCATTAATCCATACAATGAGGCTGGGGAAGAGCATATGGAATACGGTGTAAGTGCTGTAATTGTAGAAATGCTTCATCTCAACCAAGACACTCAATGTGGCTCTCCTCCAAGCATGGATATTATGAAGGGAAATAGCCACTGTTGTGATGTGGTTTTTTGCAGTCTTTTGGCTTTTGTGAAAGCTGGCCATTATGATGAACTGCGCTTAGGTAAAACTAGCCCTATCTGAGGTTTGCTCTTGTGACATAAGCCATGAGTGAACCAAGTAGCTAGCTGATGGTCATCCCTGACTACTGCTTGACAGCCACATTGAAAAGTATTCATCAAAATGCAAATCAGATGCCATGAAGTTCATTGAAACTGAGATAACGTATCTCTCAGGACTCCAAGTGCCAGTCCCTTCAGGCTGGGCATTTAGCACTAACTTCCCTGCGACCCTACTGTTTGTTGGTCCTCAATCTGAAAGCAGTCAGTTCTGAGGGCCCTGTTAAATGTGAACATTCCTTTGATTTATTGCTAAATCATTCTGGATTCAAGTGAGAAGCACCATGTTCCAAGCCATTTGGATAATTTCTCTTACCGGTGCAGTGGTTTATCCGTCACTAGCATTTTGAAATCAATCAATTTTCACCTACTGGTATCTTCATCTATTCCCTTTTGCTGTTTTTACTTTTTCTTCCTTTGTGTGAGTTGTGATAAACTGGGCCATTTGGACATCATCTTTGCTTTGCTTGTCATTTTGTTAGCTTCTATGTGAGGCAGACCTTGGGATGTAAACTTCTATAGTAACTCACCTTCAAAGGTATCCTTACCTTTTTCTCAGCTAAAACTCTAGGGACAACTAAGAGTATACAGTTATATTCCCATTGGTCATCTTTGTAGATGTTACATGAGTATGTTTAGAGCCATTTTGAATGCCATCCTTATGAGTTGAGCCAAGTATGTTCAATGAAATAAATAGAAATAATAGACCTTGCCAGCATGTGCCAAAGTACCCACTCAGCATCATAAACTCCCCCAGTGGTTGCCAATATTGCCTGCAAAGAGCCTTTGGGTTTTCTTAAAAATTACTCCCCAACCTCTCCACGAGGGGTGCACCCACACACTGAGACAATGGGGATGTTCTATCCAGAACTCACTAAGGCCAGCTGGCCTGGGTCTGAAAAAACCTGGGATAAAACCGGACTCACTGAACATAGCGGACAGAGGACTACTGAGAACTCAAGAACAATGGCAGTGGGTTTTTGATCCTACTGCAAGTACTGGCTTTGTGGGAGCCTAGGCAGTTTGGATGCTCACCTTACTAGACCTGGATGGAGGTGGGTAGTCCTTGGACTTCCCACTGGGCAGGGAACCCTGATAGCTCTATGGGCTGACAAGGGAGGGGAACTTGATTGGGGGAGGAGGAGGGAAATGGGAGGAGGTGGCAGGGAAGAGACAGAAATCTTTAATAAATAAATAAACGGAAAAAAAGAAGCCCTGAGCACAGTGGTTGCAGGGGATGCAACCGAGTTTATTAATATTGTAGTAAATTTGCAATGTTTTTAAAACCAAAAAAAAAAGTTACTCCCAATCCCAGAGTCATTCCCAAAACCTTATCCCTGCTGGGGACCACTGGTACTTGTGATTGATTGACATTAGAAAAGAAAGACCTTTTCTTTTGTCTTCTGACCTTGTACTGTTCTAAGAATAACTCCGTGGTCAGAGCTGGAGTGTGGCCTGTTAAAGCCTTCACGGAGGTATATTAAGACTTCTTCCTCACGCTGCTTGGTCTTACTTCCTCAGCTCCCATCACACTGATGGAAGCGTGAACACAGCTGTAACCAATTTTCTAGCAATCCTCCTCAGACAAAGCCTGCTCCTCCAGTAACCCCCATTTCAATAGTTGGAACCTCTGGAAGATGATGTCTGTCTGATTGGCATGTGAAGTTTTTGCCCTTAATCTTACACAAAAGGCTGAGAGGCAATACTGCATTCATTTTAGCACTAGACATTTCTGGAAAGGATTGTTACTGCTGAAAAAGCAAATATGGTGAACAATGGCAAAACAAATTAAAATTAAGGAAGAAGACTGACAACATAAAAATCAGTAATACGAAAACAAACTGAAGTTCTCCCAACCCACCAAGGAATCTTCCAGACAACAGTGAGAGAAAGAGTGTGTGTGAGAGAAATTAATTAGATCAACCAGGCCACTAAATTTTCAGAAAGAGAAAAATAAAGGACAGAGAAAGAGAGATGATAAAAGAGGTCCCATGTGATTAGAGCCCACTAGATGTATTTGGAACTTTTGAGCTATTTGATTGATCAAGGAGAAAATAACATCATTTAGAAAATCACAGCATGTTCAAACACTGCTCTTTGTGAGTATCTATGGATTATTTCAATCTCCAGGTATGACAAGGGGCTACTTGAGAGTTCTAAGTTCAAGACTTTACACTAACATTAGAAAAGATAAAGTGAGCGCTGGTGAGATGGTTCAGAAGGTAAAGGTGCTTGCAGAATAAGCCTGGAGACCTGAGTTCACTCCCTGGAGCCCACATAAAGATGACTAGGAAGACCTGACTTTACTAAATTGTCCTCTGATCTCCAAATGCACGCAGGCATGGGTGTGTGAACACATACACAAACACACACATATCACATCACACATGCACTCACTACATAACGTGGGAGTCAGCAAAATGACTCAGTAGGTAAAGGACCCACGTGGTGAATGGTGGATGGAGACAGCTAACTCTGGCAAGCTGTTCTCTGATGAGCACACACATACATAGCAAATAAATGCCGTTGTTTGAAAGGATAAAGTAAATCTGTGGCTGGGAAGAGTTATTAATTCAAGGAAACAAACAAATGAACAGAAACAATGGGGTTGGGGCACAATCAAATTAAGACTTCATAGGAAATAGGGATGTATTTCCAGGTTAGAATAAGGTGTTCTAGTTTATAGTCTTATCCCCAAGACTCAACCGAACTTAAGTAGTTCCATACTTAAGAAACTCCTACATGGAAAGAAGGGTTCCAATGAGAATTGTTTGGCAGGTGGGCTCTAGAATCACTGGATGTTGAACTGTGCTCTTGAGGTACAGAGTGAAAGGACTGGCAGGGACAAGTGATGTTGGCAATGAATGTCACAGCACAAATATAATAAAGGGAAATGTGGCCATGCATCTTGGTAACGGCAAAGCTACTTCACTCTTTAGGGCGACTGCAACTTCACATGAGAGAAAACCCAACTCGACATGTTTTGCACAACAAGGAAAATTTATTGATTGTACAAAAAGTCCCAGCAAAAAGTGGAGCCAGTTCAACAGTTGTTAAACTACCAGCTCAATAACATCTTAGGAAAGTTCAGCTGAATTCTGTTTATCTTTCTGCTCTATCTTGTCCACACCATCCTTGTCTTCAGATCCCAACACAGCTGCAGCAGGACCAGATGCCAACAAGCAGAAGAAAGGATGGATGGGAAAACATTCGTGAAGTTTTCCAACATAACCTCCTCCCTCATCTCACAGGGCCAAAGCAGGGAGTAACCCATTCACTTAACGAATCAGAGGCAAGGACATTCTGATTGTCATGAGTGGTTAACATAATGTGTATGGAGTTATATCAACTGTTCTAAAAAACAAATGGACAGCTAGGTAAAAGCAGGGTTCTTAAAATAAGGCAGGGGAGTGTTTGGTACCCAGCCAACCATGTTCATTTTACCATCTGTCAATGAAGATGAAGATGTTATGGGAAGTGTGATTCTGTTGTTGACAGACCCATCTGATTGTTACAATCCAGGAATCTGGATGTTTATGCAAGATCTCGCAATTTAAAAATTATTTCTTATAAACTCAAAACAATCTTGTTTTTTTAAAAATAGTGCTGTGTGGCCAGGATCCTTGATTTAGAGCAAATAAAACACATCTGCTATCCAAACCCTGCCCGTAGGTCACCAGTTTGCAACTCCTGGTTCATGTTCATTTCTTTAACTGAACATTCTCTGTTTAAAAGGGAAGTTCACTTTAGTCATGCCAGCAGTCAGCACACAAATAATCGGTGACTAAATTAGTTGATAAAAATATTTTACTCTATTGTAGGAAACTCCCCAAATAGCAAAGTTAATAAAAACTTCAGAAGGAAGGATATCAAAGACATATAGAAGAGGAGGTGCTACATAATTCTATTTTTAAATTGATGTTCTAATTTGACAAGTAGATAGAATCAAAACATTGCTACTTATTTAATAATGAATGCACCCTTCTCCAGTTTCTTATGATTTTGTTTTGTTTTGTTTGTATTGTTGTGTTTTCATTAGAGAGCACATTAATCCCTTCCAAAGGCGGAAGAAAATTCAGGTCGTCAAAAATATTTAAGCAGTCACCATCATAGTAAACCAAGGTGTTGGAACCAACTAATTAGAGTATTATAGTTTATATATTTCCTTTGCCATCTTCCTATGAGTATGGAAAGGAGATTATTTAAGTCAGGACGAAGGTTCTCAAAAGTATCTTTCTTACAAGTTTTAGTCTCTTCAAAATACAGCATCAACTAGGCAATGTTGACCTCTGAGTGCCAAGAGCAATAGTAATAAAGAAGTGAACACATCTCTTTTCCATCCAAAACATCCAGGCTTCCAATCTGATCATGCGATCATCAACCCTGGCTTAGCTGTTGCTTCAGACTTTTGCATTTGAATCCCTTAAAGAAAGAAAAACTTCTTAGATGATCAAAGCAACCTAAAAATTTATCAAAGTTCATAGAGAGATGTAACATGAAGCTAATAAAAAATTAAAGGAATTATTTAAAACCCAGCTCTCTACATTATAAATTATTTAATACACCAGCCATGAACAACTAGGAACAGCAGAAGGTCAGAGTAGAAGGAGAGACAGCTCTTTCTCTGGAATTTAAATGTTCCTGTGGACAGTTAGCAGAAGGAGGACAGAGGTGGGAGGAGTTGTGGGCATAGGAAAGTAGACCATGGCAAGTAGACTCCTAAGATGAGGAGATGCAGAGAGAGTTAAGGATCTAGGTGAGCATTTCTGTGGATGCTGCATCTACTCACGCAGTTCTTGTTCACTAGTATGAGAAAATAAAGAACTGAGTCACCACAGCTACATAGCTGTGCACTTTTTCAATCACCCTTTTCTTGTATATTGAAAAAAAAAAAAAAAACCTTCTCATCATGACACTAATATCAGGCCCTGCCCTAGAGTAGAAACCTTAGAAGACATGATAGAGGCTTTTCTCCTTGGCACTAGGGGTGATAAAAGACAATCATACTTTCATTATAGATCTCTTAAGTGGGTGAAGAAGTGAGCTTATTTTGAAAATAGAAAAATGATTTTGTGTTACTAGGACAAAAATGGAAAAAGTCAGTTAGTAGAGATGGCATGTTTTCCCCTATCGCAGCCAAGCTTAGTTTCTTCATGGAATTACTGCCTACCCCCTCACTACTCACTTCGGTGCTACCCAAGTGTCTGGGGTCAATTCCAAATACAATGTCAATGGCCTTCTGCTTCACCAGCTCCATTCACAGGGACACCACAATGGTTTCTCATTATTACTGCACACTTTGACACCAATAGTATTTGAGGAATTAGGCACACCAGGCATGTGTGCATTGTTTGCTCACTAACACTGCGAAACATCTTGACAAAAGGCACTTTGACTCTTTCTCTTTTACACACAACAGAGGGTTAGGCATGAGAACTACTAATGAATATCTTGATTCTGCCTTTTACTTAAAGAACACTTGCCTTTTATTCCAGTTTGCCTTCATGAATCTCCTTTTCATCTTCTACCTCTTAAAGAAATAACCATCATTTCATAAATATCTAATTTTATGCCCTCCTTAATGAGCATCCAGAAACAATTCCTTGGAAGACATTTACCTTATTCAATAAATTTATCCATTTTTTTCTCAACTGTTATGAACTGAAAGGACTACTGTGTTGTCATAAAGATTCAGTAGCCTTGTGAAATCACTATGGAAGGAACCCTTGCCTTTCCAGGTTCTCCAGAGCAAATGTGCTGTGATGAGGTTAGGTGATCCAAAGGAGCACTGGCAAAGAGCCTGTGGATTAGAGCCCATTGGCAGAAAATCCACCAGTGACTATCTCTGATACTTACGAGGAAACAGGAATTGGTGGTGGTGGGAAATTTGGCTTCGTGGATAGCTAGGAAGAAGATAAAAAGGGAGAGTCAGCTCGGAACAGGCTCTTCAAAATGTGTGTGCATGCTGAAAATGTTTAACTCATTATTAAGAACAGAGACTTTGGAAACTTAACCACGTGAAGAATTCTAAACCCACGAGTATGCAGACATAAGCACAGGATCCACAGCTATGTGATGAGACTGGTTAGTGTGGACTTAATTTTTGCATCCACACAAATCATATGCTTTTTTATTAAAAATTTCCACCTCTTCCCCGCCTCCCTTTTCCCTCCCCCTCCCCTACTCCCTACTCCCCTCCCCTTCTCTCTCCAGTCCATATGTTGATGCCATAATCCCCAGTGTAAAGGTTAGGTTTGAAGGCCTTCACCTCTTGGAGGTCGAGTTCTCAGAATTGGATTGATGAAGATACAAAAAGATAGTTGTATCTCTCCTTTCCCTAATCTTTCTCTCCTATCCCCATTTCCTTTCCATTATCCTCAACTGATGGACCAGGACTCAGTTCTCACCAAACACCAGGAAATTCCAGATCTTCAATCTTAGAATTCCCAGTCTCAAGAATGAACATAAATAAATGTTTAATCTATGTAGTCTATGCTACTCTTTACTGCATCAACCTAGGCTAAAAAATGGGTTCTGTGGAGCAAATGAATTGCACGGATTGGTTTTTGCCAACTTAATACAAAGCTAGATGTATCTGGGAAGAAGAAAATCTCAAACAAGAACTGCCTCTTTAGAATTGGACTGTATGTAGATCTCTGGACTATCATCTTGATTAATGATTAATGAGGGAGCGGGAGGGGCCAACCCATTGTGGGTGGTGCCACCAACCCATCGTGGGTGGTGCCATCCATGAGCAGATAGTCTTGAGTTGTATAAGACAGCAGGTTGAGCAAGTCAGAAAAAGCAATCTGAATAGCAGCATCCCTCCATGGCTTCTGCTCCAGTTCCTGCCCTGGGTTTCCCCAGTGATGGACATATAAGCTATAAGCTTAAATAAATCCTTTCCTCCAACTTATTTTTGTTCGTGGTGTTTTAACTCAGCAACAGAAACCCCAGTTAAGACATGAATATTCTACATTACCAACTTCCACCTCTAGGCTCTTAATTTTAGGGATAAACTCAGAAATAAAAATGTAGAGGCATATATTCCCACATTTTGCATTTTAAAGCTTTGCAGAAGAATTTATATTTTACATTAATATGCACACAAATCTCAACATTCTTCTGAATCAACAGTTGAGCACTATGGGTTATGTCTTTCGCGAGCATTTCCTTGAGTTTGGACAAGATGATAGAGAAGAGAAGTTGCTAACTCACAACATTGGGGGGAGGCTCATTCTCTTCAGTGGGCAGAGCTTCTTCAGACACGTGGAGCTTCTTCATCTGACTCATCTAAAACGAATAAATTAAAGTTTACAATGAAACCACCAGGTGTTGAAGTACAGTCAGCAGAGAAGTTACCCTTTCCCAGCCTATATGATAAGAGCGAAGCTGAAACATAGAAATAAGTAAGACAGGAGAGAGATCCCAGTAGCCCAGTTGTAGCATTATAGGAGGATTTCTCCAGAACTTCCAGGGATAACTTCTGTCACAACCATCACCACTGATGCTGCGCTAATGATCTATTTCAGCTCAAAGTCCTAAACATCTAAGACATGGCAAAAGCTGTAAGTGCCATGCATATTACATGCTATATGGTTGACCGTACAAATATACACATCCCTTTATGTACAGAGGAGTCCACCAGGAGTAATAATGAACTTAGAGTCAAAGTAGACAGAATGAGAGTGAACTGGAGGGGAGGGCAGAATAGGTGAAGAAGGGGGAAAGGGAGGGAAAGGGGAAGGAAGAGGAGGGAGAAGCTGTCAACATTTCTCCCCTCTATTCTCTTTGATTTTCACAAGCCCTTTCGGCAAGGGCTTTTTTGAAGATTCTTTCGTGTGTTAACAAGACACTATCAGAAGTTGACTGTGTGTGTGGCCACAGAGTCCACCGTCCTTACTGTCTGCTGATGTGGGGTAGATTTCTAGGCATTTCTGTGCACAAATGACAGACGTATGGTCAGAATAATATAAGAAAGGGGTAAATCATAACCTCGGGTGTCACAAAAAGAAAACCAGTTCAAACTTGAATTCACCTCCTGGGGTTGAACTGTCTTCGCCTTTGGGGATTTACTCTTCTGTTTGTGCAGCTTGGCATCCTTGGTGGGCAGTGGCCTAAAAGTAAAACCATGTCCTGTGAATTGCACAGCATCTTCAGCATGCCAGGAAAACTCAACAGAGGATGAACAACTTCCTTTGCCCACTGTGCCCTGCTTCACTACCAGGGTTCTGTGTGCTTCCAGAACATCCCTCAGTCTTTAATTGCAAGTTATCTACCATTATTATCCTGTGGCTAATAACTGGGTTCTTGGCAGAAACCTTATCCCAAAGATGATGATGATGATGATAAGTCAACTTTTATCTTAGTCATGACATTTATTTTTAATTCCTTAAATATTTCCCTAAGAGTCGTTTTGTATGAAATAAGTTCCACCAAAATAATTCAGTCTCGGAAAGTGATGGAAAATAATCTTGTTAAGATGGTTTGCAAGAGAAAGGATCTACATGCCAATCAAGCCTCAGTTTCTCACTTTTGAAAGATGTAGAGGCCTTTGTAACCTTCCTGTCTCCCTTACATTTATTATAAAGTGAATTCCATTATCTTAAGAGACATAGAGGTCACATTTCATCCAGAGAGTGAGAACACTGCAGCTGTTTCATGAAGTCTTCTCAACGATTAAAGGAGATGATAGGAAAACTTCAGCACAATGTCTACCAGACAACTCTCAGAAAATTAATATGATCTTTTCTATTCTAATAATAAATGCAAAATATTTAATAACGAGGCCCAATGTCACTGCTGTTATTAATTACAAAATTAGCTACTCCAAGGAGAAAAGAATTGTATCTGGGTGCAAAAGATTGCCCGATCGAAGGGACACCCAGTCTCTGGTCTGTGAAAAACATACCTGTGTGGTTTTCTTAATATATGAAGTAAAATAAAATTAAACCAGAAGGATTAAATCATAGAATCCAATGTCATATGAAGTAGAGGCTAAAGGGTCTCCAAAGCACATGAAGGCTTACCTCTGAACTCTCTTCTGATTCCTTCTGGCACTTTGATGCCGGATCACTATAGCAACCACCACAAATATGACTGCCAGAGGGAAGAGCACACCAACCACGATGGAGAAATCTACAACAGAGAGCACAGAAACCCTATTGAGGACCAAAAAGTGTGCCTCACTCTAATTTGCCTCCTTTTTATCTTTCCTTCTTTCCTTCCTTCTTTTCTTCCTTCATTCTTTTCTTCCTTCCTTTTTTCCATCCTTCCTTTTTTCCTTCCCTCCTTCTCTTCCTGATTTTCTCTCTCCCTCCCTTCTTTTCTCCCTTTTCCCTCCCTCCCTTTCTTCTTTACTTTTCAAAAAGAATCTGGCCATGTAGGCTAGGCTGGCCTTGAACTCATTGTGTAGCTCAGGCTGGGCTCAAACTCGCCTTGATCCTCCAGTCTCAAACTCCCATGTAACAGAATTGCAATAGAATGCCATTGCATCTGGCCTGACTTATTTGCTACAAATTTTATCTAGTTTTTACAAAATGAATCTGTCTTCCTGGAGAGTTATACTTGCTGATTAACTGTCATCTGGTCTGTAGAAAAGGAGGAGGGAAAACCCACCCTGAACCTGGACTGGCTTCCCAATCTGCACTGAAGAGGGGAATGAGCCAAAAGACCTCTGGGTACTGCATTCATCTTTCTCTCTCTGCTTCCTGACTGCAGGTACCATGTGACCTGTCAGCTCTCTGTTCTCCCACTACTATATCTTCCCTATGATAATGGACTGTAACCACAAAACTAAACCAAAGCAAGCCCTTCCTTCCCTAAAACACATTTATCAAGTATTCTGTCCAAAAAAAAAAAGAAAGAAAGAGAAGGAAAAGAAATCTAATAGAGTTAATAAAATGCAAATGGTACTGATCATGATCACAGTGCTAATGTCTATAAAAAGCAAGTAAAAGTATACAGGAGGTGGGTTAAATAACTTCTTACTGAAAATTCTTTAAATGGAAGAAGATTGGCAGTAGTAATAGGAGAGTGAAGGCTGGGAGACTACAGGAGGATATGGAATAACAAGGATGGCAGAGCAGGGAGATGGCATTTTAAATCCAGCTTTGGAATGAAACAAGAAAGAGATGGTATTGTCCCCTTGGCAAATAAAGAGCAAGGTAATGAGTAAAAAAAAATACAGGACATAATTCATAAATTGTTTTTATGCCCTAGTCTAAGTAATACATTTAGCCTGGATCCTGGCCAGTGTCAAGGTTTTGTTTCTCTTCTAATCATCAGAAATCAACAGAAACAAGAAAGCACACACATCTGAAGAGCAGGGGAGCCACTGCTCTTAGTACATAGTCCAGCAGCAAGACTGACAGTTCCGATAAAAGTATTGGAGAGATTAGGGATACAAGGGTCATACCTAAATATAATAAAAGCTATATACAGCAAGCCGACAGCTAACATTAAATTAAATGGAGAGAAACTTAAAGCCATCCCACTAAACTCAGGAACACGACAAGGCTGTCCACTCTCGCCATACCTCTTCAATATAGTGCTTGAAGTTCTAGCAATAGCAATAAGACAACATAAGGGGATCAAGGAAATTCGAATTGGAAAAGAAGAAGTGAAACTTTCGTTATTTGCAGATGATATGATAGTGTACATAAGCGACCCCAAAAACTCCACCAAAGAACTTTTACAGCTGATAAACACCTTTAGTAATGTGGCAGGATACAAGATCAACTCCAAAAAATCAGTCGCCCTCTTATACACAAAGGATATGGAAGCAGAGAGGGAAATCAGAGAAGCTTCACCTTTCATGATAGCCACAACAGCATAAAATATCTTGGGGTAACTCTAACCAAGGAAGTGAAAGATCTATTTGACAAGAACTTTAAGGCATTGAAGAAAGAAACTGAGGAGTATACCAGAAAATGAAAGGACCTCCCTTGCTCTTGGATTGGGAGGATCAAAATAGTAAAAATGGCAATTCTACCAAAGGCAATTTATAGATTCAATGCAATCCCCATCAATGTCCCATCAAAATTCTTCACAGATCTTGAGAGGACAATAATCAACTTTATATGGAAAAACAAAAAACCCAGGATAGCCAAAACAATCCTATACAATAAAGGTTTGTCTGGAGGCATTACCATCCCTGACTTCAAACTCTATTACAGAGCTACAGTGATGAAAACAGTGTGGTACTGTCATAAAAACAGAGAAGTCGACCAATGGAATCATATAGAAGACCCGAATTTTAACCCACAAACCTATGAACACCTCATTTTTGATAAAGGAACCAAAAGTATACAATGGAAGAAAGAAAGCATCTTCAACAAATGGTGCTGGCATAACTGGATGTCAACCTGTAGAAGAATGAAAATAGACCCATATCTATCACCATGCACAAAACTCAAGTCCAAATGGATAAAAGACCTCACTATCAGTCACAACACATTGAACCTGATAGAAGAGAAAGTGGGAAGTACCCTACAGGAGATGGGCACAGGAGATCGCTTCCTATGTGTAAACCCAACAGCACAGACATTAAAGGCAACATTGAATAAATGGGACCTACTAAAACTGAGAAGCTTCTGTAAAGCAAAGGACACTGTCACCAAGACAAAAAGGCAACCTACTGACTGGGAGAAGATCTTCACCAACCCCGCAACAGACAAAGGTCTGATCTCCAAAATATATAGAGAACTCAGGAAACTAGACTTTAAAATGCTAATTAACCCAATTAAAAAATGGGGCACTGAACTGAACAGAGAATTCTCAGCAGAGGAAGTTCAAATGGCCAAAAGACACTTAAGGTCATGTTCAACCTCCTTAACGATCAGGGAAATGCAAATCAAAACAACTTTGAGATATCATCTTACACCTGTCAGAATGCCGAAAATAAAAAGCTCCAATGATAGCCTTTGCTGGAGAGGCTGTGGAGGAAGGGGTACCCTCATCCACTGCTGGTGGGAATGCAATCTTGTGCAACCACTTTGGAAATCGGTGTTTCGGTTTCTCAGGAAATTCGGGATCAACCTACCCCTGGACCCAGCAATACCTCCTGGGAATATACCCAAGAGATGTCCTATCATATGACAAGAGCATTTGTTCAACTATGTTCATAGCAGTATTATTTGTAATAGCCAGAACCTGGAAACAACCTAGATGCCCTTCAATGGAAGAATGGATGAAGAAAATGTGGAATATCTACACATTAGAGTACTACGCTGTGGTAAAGAACAATGACTTCTCAAATTTTGCATGCAAATGGATGGAAATAGAAAACACTATCCTGAGTGAGGTAACCCAGATCCAAAAAAGATGAATATGGGATGTACTCACTCATAATTGGTTTCTAGCCATAAACAAGGGTCACGGAGTCTACAATTGGTGGTCCCAAAGAAGCTAAGTAAGAAGGTGAACCAAAGGAAAAACATATAGTTGTCCTCTTGGCTATGGGAAGTAGACAAAATGGCCGGGGAGAAAATTGAGATCTTGGGGGTGGGGTGGGATGGGGGTAAGGAGAGATGGGGAGAGAAAAGGGAGAAGGGGAGAATGGGGGGAACTTGTGGAAAAAGGAGGATTGGGATAAAGGAAGGTTAGATAGGGGAGCACGGAAGTACAATTCTTAGTTAAGGGAGCCACCTTAGAGTTGGCAAGAGACTTGAACCTAGAGTGGCTCCCAGGTGCCCAAGCCGAGGTCCCCAGTTAGTTCCTTGGGCAGCTGAGGATAGGGAACCTGAAATGACCCTATCCTATAGCAATACTGACGAATATCTTGCATATCATCATAGAACCTTCATCTGGTGATGGATGGAGATAGAGACAGAGACCCACACTGGAGCACTGGACTGAGCTCCCAAGGTCCCAATGAGGAGCAGAAGGAGGGAGAACATAAGCAGAGAAGTCGGGACCACGAGGGGTGCACCCACCCACTGAGACAGTGGAGCTGATCTATTGGGAGCTCACCAAGGCCAGCTGGACTGTGACTGAAAAAGCATGGGATAAAACTGGACTCTCTGAACATGGCGAACAATGAGAGCTGATGAGAAGCCAAGGACAATGGCACGGGGTTTTGGTCCTGCTTAATGTGCTGGCTTTGTGGGAGCCTAGCCAGTTTGGATGTTTACCTTCCTAGGAATGGACGGAGAGGGGAGGACCTAGGACTTACCACAGGGCAGGGAACACGGACTGCTCTTTGGACTGGAGAGGGAGGGGGAGAGGAGTGGGGGGAGGGGGAGAAGGGTGGGAGAAGGGGGAGAAGGGTGGGAGGAGGGGGAGAAGGGTGGGAGGAGGGGGAGGGAAATGGGAGGCTGGGAGGAGGTGGAAACTTGTTTTTTTTTCTCCTTTTCTCAATAAAAAAAAATGGGAAAAAAAACCTGACAGTTCCAAAAATACAGGAAAAGCTGAAAAATGTGAAGACAAAACACACAGGTAAAGGTAGACACCCCAGAAAGTAGAATTCAAAATAAGAAAAAGGCATTTGTTCAAATATCTAATTCTTTTCAGCTTCCATAATATTCTTGCTCAAGGAAATCTAAGAAAAACCAAATGCTGTGGCATTTCTGCGAGACATAGCTTAGCTTAAGAATGGGGAAGAGCGGACGCATTAGAACTAATTTCAGAATAATATGTATTTTAAAAAAACATCATATCAGAGTATTTGGAATACTGTCAGTGCTTACAATCATGCCAAATCTGAGAGGACATAGTTGTGGCTTGGGGTAAAAAAAAATATTATTAACAAACAGTAAGTGGGCAGTTGAAGATAGAAATAATTGAACAGCAAATCCAGCTTCTTCTATTGCTAGCAATAGTGGTCTTGATCAGCATAAAGTTTTTACAAAACTCCTAAATCCATGAAAGTTCTAAAAAAATAGATTTTTTTAGATATTAATGAGGTAGTAAGAATTTAGAAAAGTATAAAAGAAAGAGAATCAGTTTCTTTAATGGCATGACCCCTAGTAGGTCAGCATACTCCAGGGCTCCAATAGTGGACTAGATGGGGAAGAAGAACAGAAGGCGATGCCAATGACTCGAAGTTGGATGGATTGGGCAGGTAAGAGGGTTGAATCTTGGGGGAGTGGGAGAGAGGAGTAAATACTATCAGAATACTTTTTATGGGATTCTCAACA